TGGAGGCCTTTTCGCTGAAGATGGTGATGAAGTACAAAATTCACCGCGTGGGCGACTCCTACGAGCACTTGCGGCGACTGAGCCATAAGCCACCAGGGCATGTTCGTGCAGCCGAACCCCAAGTACCTGCAGAGCATGCTAAAGGCCCTGGGGCTGGAGCAAGCGAACCCAGCACCAACGCCAGAGACGGCCACCAAGGCGCAGGAGGAGGAACAGTTCCTGGACCAGCACATGGCGAAGGTGTTTCGGTCGTGCGTGGGGAAGGCCCTTTACCTTTCTTTCGACAGGCCGGACATTCAGCACGCAGTGCGGGAGCTGACCAAGGAGATGAAGGAGCCAACGGCCGCGGGGATGAACGCTTTGAGGAGATTGGCCAGAGACCTCAAGGGCACGGCCAACCACGGTGTTTGGCTCCCGGCCGAGGGCGACACGGACTCCCTGCAGGTGGCCTCGGACACAGACTGGGCAAGCTGCAAGAAGACTCGGAAAAGCTGTGCAGGCGGAGTCTTCGTGTGGGGCGGTTGCCTCATTGGGTCCTACAGCCGGGGACTCTCGATGATATGCTTGAGCAGCGGAGAGGCGGAGTTCAATGGGGGAGTGATAGCCACCTCCGAGGGCATTTTTTACAAGGAGGTCCTCGATTTCTTCCGCATCCCGGTGGTCCTTAAAATTTATTTGGACAGCAGTGCCGCAAGGGGGGTCTTTCAGCGAGAAGGCGTAGGCCGAATACGTCACCTCGAGACCAAGTCCATGTGGGTGCAAACGGGCCTGAAAGAGAAAAGGTTTCAGCTTCACGCCGTGGACACGCAGAACAACGCGGCGGACATTCACACGAAGGCCCTGGGCACCGAACGGTTCACCATGCTCCGGACAATGCTGGGGGTCATCGACAACGTGCCGGGCCAGGCGGAGATGAGGGCTGAAGCGGTGCGGGACATGTTCAACAGCATCAAGAAAAAAAGTTGGGGCAGTCAGTGCCAAGAAGCTGGCGGCGGCCATCATGATGACCCAGCTGCCGGGAGCCGACGCGATGGAGCTCGTGGTAACGACCGGCAGCGTGGCTATGCCAGCGGAGGGGGGCAGCAATTACCTGACAATGGTGTGTGCAGCACTGGCCGTGATGATTGCCACGGTCTGGTGGTTCTGCAGCTGTACCCGGACCAGCAAGGTGACAAAGGAGACGGGCACCCAGACCGACGCCCCGGAGCTCAGCGCATGTGTCCCCAACCGGAAGCTTCAGGACATGTACGTTACCAGATTTGGTGAGAGGGTGCATTTCGAAGACGATTGCCCGTACATTCGCGGGTACCAGAGGCGAGCCTTGCACCCGTGCACCAGGTGTTTGAACATGGCCACAGAGCTGTGGATAGAGCCCAATCTGTGAAGGGCTTGGGCCTGCAAAGCGGTAAAGCACCGCGACTTTTAAAGCAAATCCTCCCCTTGAACGGCTGAGGGGGGTGATGCAGTTTTTCAGTGAAGAATGTGCAGCAGATTCAAGCAACGACAGCCCTTCAAGGTTCGAGTGCAAAACAGCAGCCCGCTTCAACCTCGTAAAAAACGAGGTCGCGCCCATCGTTTGTTATGGAAGAAGTCAGACAAAAGCCCAAAATGATTCTCGATGAGGGTGGCCAAATCGGGAAGAGCACATAAGGGCCAATGTGCACGATCCTTCGAAAATAACGATAACCCCCAAGTCGCCTTTGAAGGCAAGGGTGGGTGCAACCGGCTGCGACCTCGTTGTTTACATGGTCACACCCGGTCGCACCC